CTGCTTAAACAGTGCAGTTTTATTTGTGCAACAGGTATAGAGGTTTTTTGAATTGCCGGTGATAGTGACTGTCTGCAAGAAAGCACGTGCAAATATAAAACGCCTGAAAAGGTTATAAATAATACAGCCTGGCTATAAACATTAGGGAGTAACTATTCCCAAGAAAAGCGCTTAGTTTAAGTCTCACCCAAGGCGTCCCAAGAGGGGGAGAAGCAAGGCTCAGCCCTTCGGCCGATCCCGGCTGTTGGAGGCAGTCTGAGGTGGAGTTTCCCTTGACTTGCTCACGGTGTTATCTTCTTCTCCTCCGAAAATCTATGGTGTTATCTTCTTCTCCAAAAATCCCCCATTTCCCTGGGGCTATTTTTATATCCTTTCTACCTTTAAGGTGGAGTTTGAGTGACTGTAGTCATACACACCTTTTATCAGGATTGGTGTAAAATTTTCTCGCTTCACGTTTAAAGGTATAGTTTATGAAAAATCGAGAGCGCAGACTTGAAGAGGGGTGGTTGCACCTTGGAGGCGGGTAGCCTTCGGGATGGAGGTGTGTTTTGGTATTAACATGATATTAAAATGAGCAAAGTTCACGAGAGGGTAGCACTTTGGCAAGGTTTCGAAAAACCTGTTGGCTCAGGGGGCCAGATGAGCTGCTTATCAGTTCTAGAGAACCATTTCTTCCCGCTTTATCATCACGGAGCATGGCCACGGAATCTTCACTCCACTCCATCCTCTATGGTGTGTTGCAGGGAGTTGCTGTGTTAGTGGATTCCTCGCATGCCTGCTGCAGCTGTGTCCCATCCTCAGAGCTCCTTTTGCTTTTCCTCAATGGGTGAACATTGCACGTTTTCATATAAACCTTAATTTTCAGATGTAAAACCTTAATTTTACTAATAATTCCACAGGCCTGCCTGCCCACTGCTGCCTTTCCGCTTGCCTTTGGCCTGCTCTGGCCCGTTGCCGGGGACAGACGCTCTCCCCTGCAGCTCCCGGACCAGATTTCCACCGCGCAAAGGTTGCTGATAAGCATTTGCGTCCTTGCATAGTGCCACTGCCAAAAAAAAAACCAGGTGCCTGGTATTGTGATATTATGAAGGCTTTTGGCGAGGGAGTCGGCCAGTTTGGGAGTGGGGTCGGGGTCTCTCCGGGGCCCCCGTCCCTGGGGCAGCGCAGGGGCAGAGGTGCTGGGCGCCGGGAGGTCAGAGCAGGCCCGGCGAGCGGGGCCGGGCAGTGCCGCAGAGCAGGGCAGAACAGAGCTGTGAACACTGCGATACCACACCTGGGTCGGGACTAAAGTTGCTGGCATCGCTTGGTGTCACACAGAGACTCACGTCGGTGTCAGGGTTCGTTATACCCACAGTGGAAAGTTTCAGTTTCCAAGAAACTGAACCTCTTTTCTCTGGTTGATGTCGGTGGCTGAATTCCCACTGGTGTAAGGAGGAACAGGATTCTACCTTGAAATCATCAAATAAGCCAATTGCTCTGTCTTGGTTGTTTTTCTCAGATGCCCGTACTCAGCGCGAATACGATGAGAGCCATATTATTACAGCACGCAGGATTGAACAGGTGAGGGGGGACTGCTGTTTGTGCAAACCATCCCTGCGTTTAGCAGTGAGCAGTAAGCCAAAATTGGCTTAAAACCCACAGGAATTGTCCCAGCCTCCCCTGCCTTTTCCAGCCACGTTCTACCACTGGAGGGATGTATTCTGTCACAAAGCAAGCAAAGGTGGCTTCAGTAGCCCAAAGGATTAGCACATAGGAGCTGTATATCGGGAAAAGTATTGCACAAGAACTAACATATTGTAGCCTTGTCCCACAAAGGACAGTGCTGGCATCCGTACCGCTGCGGCTGATGAAGCAATCTGGTGTAGTCTGCGTCATTTCTGCACTCTAACCGGGTCTTTCAGCGTCAAGTACAGACGTAGCCCCAAGCCTGTCCCGTAGCTATAGTGTAGTAACTTGCAAGATGTTGGCAGCGTTGATGCCACAAGACAAGTATGGAGCTGTGCTCCTGACAGAATTCCTCATTGATTTTGGTAGAGTCCTACAGGGGAGTATGTGGTACCGGATTCCAAGGAGCTGTGGTGTGTCAGATACTGTGTGGTGTACGACTGTGAGACCAGCTCTTTGGATTGCTGCGACTATGAGGAAGAGGAGGAAGAAAAAGGTACCTGTGACCCATGTCAGTCAAGACCTCACTGCAGGATAGATATTCTTCCCATTCCTCATTCAATTTTATGATCTTATTGGAAGAGATGCAAATTTACCCAGTTTTATTTGAAAAACGAACATCTGTGCTATGCCCCTGGTTTTTCACTGTGTTGTATATCTACTTAGGCTTCAAAAATACAGATTTTATTTCAAAGCATCCTGGCAGGCCTGGTTTCCTATCTGTGGACTGATCCCTCGGAAGCTCCTTGCCACATGTGAGGAATGGGTTCTTTTTGTTTTTCCTCATTGCATTGAATTGGGCTTGTCCAACGATTGCCTTTTAGGGAGCAGTGCTGCTTTGGAGACTGAAAACACTGACTCAAGTTCCGTATGTTCACAGAGTGAGTACTTCCTTCTTTGAGGGTTGTAAAAGGCTTTCACATTGTCATATTTTAAAACACTTGGCTTTAATGGGGGTGATGATTTGATGGAGTTCACCGAGAAATGTGAAGAGCTGGAAACTTTTCCACGTAATTGTTCAGTCTTCCTTGAACCATGGAAATGTTTAGCTTTCATGCGTCCTTTGGCAAGGAGTTCTGCTGTGTGCAGAACCACTTCTGTATGTTTGTTTGGCTTCTGTGGCTTTATAAAGGCTACTATCATTTTAGCAAAGATTTACATCATTTTTTTAAGGAAAAAATCTACAAGCTTAAGGGGAATGGATAAAGCCAGCATGTTTGTAAATGCTCAATGATGAGACAGTAGCAAGGGAAGGTGTGAAGAGTCAGAAGTAGGTTTCTATTGTGCTGATCTATTTCTAAAGCAGACGTAGCTAGAGGCAAGCGGGATGGATCTCTTGGGAGAAGGAGGGGGAGCAGCCATCTCACATAATCTGCTTCACTGAAGGGAGTGTTTTAAACCTTGTGAAGAATTTATTCAAGATTCCTCCCTCTTTGCCTGAAGCAGACTAAAGAAAAGGGCCTCCATGAAACTAAGATTATTAGATTTAAATTAATAATACTTCCTATTATGGGAACTTATTACAAGCATTTCCCAAAGAATAATGGGGAGGGAAAGAAAAAACTTTATCTAGACCTACAAAAGAAACCACAAGAGGAATAAAAGATCAGGACAAGAGGTGAAGAGCAACGTCCCTTGTTATTGACCTGCAGCAACAGTTAAAGAATAAGTCTAGCTTTTAACAAGGCTTTCCACAGACCATTAGGTGAAATGAAAAGCAGTTTGCTGTCGGTGTCAGTGGGCCAGATGT